GGTGACGAGCTGAAAACAGGTCACAGACTGTGCTATTAATGAGCAGCCTGGGCGTTCAGGCAGCAAATGACCTCCCTGATAGCAAGATGACCATTCGTGGCACATTAACAGGGGCAGCTCGCATTTAACCCCTGAAAACCAGTGACAAGAGCAGGAGACACACTCTGCGGGACTTTTTATGTTTTGCTGCTGTTTCTAAAGTCTTTCGGCGAGCAGCTCATTGACGTTTCCTTTTAAACAGGTTTGCAGGTTCTGACTGAAATCACCACCTGCCGCCAACATCAGTGTCTCCAGCTGGTTTCCATGCCTTGCAGGCCAGGATTACAGGCACTGTAAGTGTTTCAATTCTCGGAGATAAATAAGTTGAAAGTACCCAAGTTGTAAGTCAGTAGTTACAGCTCCTATTTTATGATACAGTGCACTGTGAAGGGGACAGTTTACATAAAACTTGAGGAAGTTTTACTATGTTATCTGTATTTTGGTGCCAAATTTCTGAAGAATGACAAATCCCATCCTGTTTCACTTCATTTCGCTTCGTATTGTTTTGACAGTGCATGGTTAAATTTATTCCTGTCGATTCTTACAGAAACATGGCCCCTAAGTGCCAGCTCTCACTACGCTTTAACCAGACAGCTGGGGTCTCTAAACTATCCATATTTGATATGAAAATGAATTTTAAATGCAAATCAACTCACTCCGCCAGGTGGTTCAGTGAAGTTCATGCACCCAGCAGGTAAAAAGAACAGTTCTAATATTATTTATAGTCACAACACAGCAATCTCAACTGAATAATATCCCACCAGTTGTCATCTATTACATTCCTGATTATCTCTCGCTTGTGCTCAGTCTGTCTCTCCCTTGTATTCATACCCTCAATCCAAGGCGATTTTTTTTTCCTGTAGAAATCTGTAAGATTCATTTTTTATTAGCTTTCAATTGTTATACAAGTAAAATGTGACAGAAATGGAACATCTAATTTTCTGGAGCGTCCTGTGGGATGGGAGAATCTGAGTGTTTAAAAAACAGCATATGATAATCAAAAACATTTACATCAAAAGGGAGTGCAACCCATCCCTTCTGATCTAAATGACTAGGCTTTTTTTTTTGTAAGGACGTGGATTAATGAGTAAACTATCTTGAAGCGTCTCTGAAGCCAAGACCTGCGAAACAGGAAGCTGAGCTTCCCAACAAGAAAGAGTGGAGCACTCGTTTTTCCTGACATTTTAACCTCAGAGTCTCCCATGTTGAGAAACCGGGCTACCAGGAGGTACAAGGTTAGTGAATTAGCAAACTAGCCAGACTCCTGCCTTGCAACACATTTTTAAGCATTTTGAAGTATTACCCTCATTACTCACTGCTGGAAACCCCAGCCCTTTTCCTTTTACTGTTTTTGGCAGGGCAATCCATCCAGTCCCTCACCCAGCCACTCCCCCTCCCTGCTCCCAGCTCCCCTCCTCCCCGCGTTCTGTTCTGTTCGAAAGTTCTCTCTTCCACACTCTACCTCCGTCCTTCGCAACTCCTTCTTCCTCTCCCTCTCGCTTTCCCCCCTCCCCTGGCTGCGGTCTGTTTTGATAACCGGCGCCTTCGCCGTTAAACACCGTCCCACCCCCTGTGACAGAATAAAAAGGGGGCTCCGGCTCTCCTCCCCATCCCTGTCGCTCTCCGGCTCTCCTCTCCCCCTCCGCCTGAACACAAACGTCTCTTGATGCTGGGCTGGCGGGCTGCGGGTCCAGCACCATATTTAATCAACGTGAGGCTAAACTCTTTCAATCTGTGACGGCTCATTTGAAAACGGAGCCCAGGGCTCTCTCTCCATGCCAAATATAATAACTCTTCTCTTTCCTTACCGAGGTCCATTTTATAATTTCACAATTTTTCAATGTCAGCCCAGCCTTTTGAAGAATTTTTATTGAATTTCCTGCTGGACGAAGTATGAGGGTTATTTCCACCCCCCCATCTCTCTCTCAGTGATTCTCTCCTGTTCTCATTTTGGTTTTCTCTCTATCTCTCTCCTATTTTCTTTTCTTTGGCTCAGGCAGCATGTGCCTGGAGGAGACTGGAGAATAATACTCAATCATGGGCTCAGATGGAAGGGAAGGATTACTCATCAGAAATGATTACACTTCCCAAAACACAATATTGTTGGGCAAGTATACATTTTATATAGGAATATTTAAGGCAACTGTATAGATTTAAAGCCTGTTTTATAATCCTCTCCACCTATAGTTCTCTGCTATGTTCAAATGTTGGAGGGGGCTCCTTCACAAGTCTTTTCAGTGACTCTGGAACTGATCAGGTAGCCACTCATCTTTGTAGATAACGTGGCTCCATCCAGGTGTTCCCTGTTGCCATGACCACTGGGTAAGATGTCTTTCAATCAAAGGGGCATCTTTGCTTCAGTAAGTGAGGCTCAACATTTGAACGGGAAGGTTTGCTAAGCCTGATTCCCATGTCCCAGGGGAACCAGAGATGCAAATGTAGTCTTCCTTCTCATCTTGGTCTATGGACTTTATAGTCAAGATTTCATTTACCATACAGGTCTGACAGCTATGTGGGCAACTTCATTGCCACTTGACCTCAGCTGCACTTGACTCAGATCTAAAGAGGAAAAACGCCTTGTCTGTCTGGTGAGTTTACTTGAAAAGTAATCAAGCTAGGTGGCATAACTGTATGTGACCAGCGTGCGGATGCATTTGGGCAGCCATGAGGTAATGCCTGCACAGACCACTGTCAGGCTGCTCCAAAGCAATTAAACTGACCTGACACCAGATTCAGCACTGCCTGACAACTACAATTTAACAAAACAGCTAAATCTATAGTCCCTGAAAGAGCTTTAACACAACACTGCTAGGATACAATCAGTGAAGTTCCTCTCTGTTGCCGATACCACTTCCTTTGCCTCCAATGAGCCATTTTTACAATTTACTATTTGCATGCACTTCATTGAGAAGCACTGAAAACAAGCATGGCTACATATTTATTGCTTCATGGAAATGTATTTGTTTTTTTCTGTCCTGCTCTTGAAATTATTTTTAATAAGCATTGCTGGAGTAACTTTACAAGAATTTCAGCTGTCAAGTATAATCAAGTACAGGCAGACCTGTACTTGACCAACATCTGTAACCAAAAGTTAACCAAGCCTAAGTTCCGCCTATATAGTTCCTATAATTCGATTGCTGGTTATCTAGTCTAATCCTGGTCACAGGACTGCCCTAAGTGTTTTGCTAACATGACAAAGCCCAGGAAACTACAGATCTTTGCACGTGTTTGTAATTCAGCAGGGGCAATAATTCAAATGCTCTCGTGTACTGAATCTTTTCAGATCATAAAAAAACATCTTAAACTAAAGTACAAAAAGAGACCTCTTTTTTTTCTGGTAACGGAATGTTTGGCATGGCAGATATTACTTTACTTTAACTTTTGAAAATAAAATAACATGAAATAGAAAGAAAAGAAAGACACACGATTTAATCACATTATGGATGTTATACTATATGTCAAGCCATCATTTTTGATTAGGGTTGTGCTGTGATGTTTTTCTGTTTTGATACCGAGATAAACTTTGCAATGACTGGGATCATATGTTTAAAATTAGTGTACAGGGAGACCTTCTGACCTTTTAATATCACATCACATGTCTGCCCTAATTCATGTCTGCCTTCAGATCTTTTGTCATGTGCTTTGCAGATCTGTCACACTTAATCTAACTGAAAAGATTGTGAAAGGAAACACATGAAACTCGAAACACTGAATGCCTATAATGCAGTGCAAAGCGGCAGAGGGCTGGAGAAGGCACAAGTAATGTCATCTGAAGGGTACATCTGTCCCAGGAGAGCTTGGAACAGGACAAATTTCCCAAGTAGGACAAGAAATAGTTTACGCTAGTCCTCAATTAGAAAACATTTCATTTCTTATGATTGCTGCAAATCTGTAACCTATGAAAGATCCACTTTTTGTTCTCCTCGTGTTTCCACTCTGGTGCTGTGTAAAAAAAAGCAAAAATAAAACATTACATAAAGGGAAGTTATGTTCCAGCTAGTTTTGAATGGGGGAGTTGCATCAGCATTCAAGCTGCAAAGCACCAGGTAGGGAGTAGAAGTTCAGCTCTTTTCAGTGTGGAATTAACACCCATTTCTCACTCTGTTCAAGCTGTTCAAATACAATGTATTGACCTTGTTTAGAATACTGGGTGTCACTGTAGTCACAACATTATAAAACCTAGTTGTGCTGGAATCGGTGCAAATAAAGGCAACAAGGTTAATTCCTGTCCTTAAAGGAGTGTGTTGCACACATAGGCAAAAGAAACAGAGGAGGCTGTGAGGGGATATGAGAGATAAGAGGACTCCAGGACACAACAGGAAAGTGCTCTTAGGTCTGAAATAAGGAGGTGCTTCTTTACACAAGGGAGTGTAAGGATCTCGAACAAACTTACTCACCATGTTGCTGAAACAGATTCCCTGTGATCCTTCAGGAAACAGGCGGACAAGTCTCCTGGATCACCAAGTCACTAACAAGAGGGGCCAAATGGCCTCGTTTTATTTGAAATCTTTCTTAGGTTTCCTGCCGAGAATTAAGAATAATATGACTGGAAAGAGACAGCACATGCACAAAGCATGGTGTGAAACCAAGACTCCTTTCTCCATCACATGCCCTGTCTTTCAGGTTTAACCAGCATTCTCAGGCCCCTTGTTTGAAAGATGGGCCAATCCAGAAAGCCACAAGCTTAGCAGGAACACAAAACAATAGCACTTCAATGTGTCACAGAATGCGTTACATTTCAGGTGCTACAACAACAAAAATATAAAATGTCTTTAAGGTACCTCCTCTGATACAGGCAACATGATGGACCCAAGGCCCCATGAGTGTGCATTAGTCTACAATTAAAAAAAAAACCCACTTCAGACACTTCAGCATGGCTCATTTGTGAATCACAGGGTGTGTTTACATCAAGACAGGGCGTTGATCAATCGCATCAACACAATTTTATCTTATCTCACTTATTACATGATCTTTTCTCGCAGCAAAAAAGCAGTTCCTTTAATTACATTGACATTGCATCATAAAGCAAAACAAGTCACATATGTGTCTCTTTTCACCGAAATTAGATCAGTATAGCTTGCACAATTTTTTTGCATATGCATGAGCATACATTTATGGTTTATTTTTAAAGATCTCTGAAGTACACAAAATCAGCTTGAAGATAATTTTAGAAAACAAAAATTCTCATGACTCGGGGCTTTCAGAGTAAGGATCAGGGAACTGGTTTGCTTAATACCTATTATTCCTAAACAGTAATGAATTATTCACTTATTCATTTACATCTGATCTCCAGGAGAGATCCTGGTCCAGTTCAGTGCATGTTTTATTATGAGGCCTCTCTGCCAAGGCCAATGATGAAAAGCAAGCAGGGCTGACATCACTTGTTTCATGTAATTTAAAACATACCTGGGCCCCCGAACTGTGCCGGCCAGGGCTCATTCCTTTCCCATCTCCTTGGGGTTTTTGCTCTTGATGTGCTTGGCACAGCAAGACAGCTCCCACAGCAAAACCCATCACACACACACACTGGGAAAGCACGGGGAAAAGGCACCATTAAAAGTTTATTTTCCACCCTTTGTTTCAAACGAATAAAATGTGAGGGGCTGTAAATAAGTGCTCCCTTTGATTTAGCGAGTCGTAATACTGATTTAAAGTTAACATAAGCTGAAGAATGAGGAGCAAGGGGGTGGAGGGCTGAATCATTTGGGACACATTTGACCTCCTCCAGCTCTGCAACCAAGGCAATATTTTCAGGCTCTGAAAATAAAGAGAGGAACTGGGAAAACTCTCTCATAGCCCAAGTTAAGGATTTACAGCAGGAAATTCATAGACTGATTCTGTAGTTTTTATGCTTTTTAAAAACTCTGTTTAAGCACTCAGCCAGTTGTTTAACTATGATCTATGGTATTTCCCCATTGCACAACGACATCAATAAGATGACTATGCAGTGAAGCAAAGCAATGATTTTTTGCACTAGGCCACATTACATGAAACATTTTTTTAGCTTTCCAGCTAAGTCTGTCTTTGCTGTGTTTTAACAGACTTTCTCCTGCTGTGTAAAGTCATTGTCGTTGTCATACCCTGATGCTGTCATCTAGGAAGATACTGTAATTTTGTTGCACCCAGCAAATGTCTTCAAGGGAGAAGCCGATCTCTCACTACAGCGCCAGCCCTGCTCAGATACAAACAAACATCGGATGAAACGGTAATAACAAAAAATACCAAATTCAGCAAACAAAGTAAGGAAGGAAAGATAATAGAAAAGAAAGAGAAAGCATGGCGGTAAGGGCCAAACAGAAACATGATTCATTGGGATTTCCGGCCAGACTCCTGAACCCAAGTCACACAGAGAACACAGAGTTTTCTCCAGTCAGAAAAGCAAAGGCCAGTTACACATGAACAGGACAGTGTTGCAGGGGCACTCAGCCACATGAGAGCAGAGAAAGAACGGGCAGCTACAGTTTGGTACGGATTTTAAAACAGAGAGATTCCGGAGGTTTTCAGCATTCTAAAATGCCGCTTTTTGATCAAAGATAATATTCATTTAATCTGCACAGGACCACATTTGATCAACAACACATTTAGCTCCAAGAGAGGAAAAGGAGCAGGAGAAAAAGAGGGGAAAACAAAACAACTGCTACTTTCCATGTGAAGACAGATCCAGTGTTGTACTTCTTGTCTCACCACAAAGGTTACATGCCTCCACAAACAGAAAAACAATATCATTAAAGGATAATTTTGCATTTAAAAAAAAATAAAAGCACTGCATGTTCTGATCTGGCATGCAGTTATTTTCCCTAATCTGGACAGCTACAAAACATCTCACAGCAGACTTTACTATGCAGCACAGAGGTGTCTGCAGCATATTCAGTAAAACATGAACAGACCAAATGAAACATTTATTTTTCTGTCATCTTAAGCCTCCATAATGTCACGTACTGATTTTGTGGAATGAAGAGTGATGAAGGATGAAAATCAAGGCTCTAAAGAACAAAAGAGTTAACATCCAATACCACCCCACTTTTGTTGAGAACAGACAGTTTAAATAGAAAATCACATTTCGTGCAACAGTACTAGGAGGTTTTGAAGGTTGCACTAAAATGTCAAAAACAAGGTGAGCTTTGTCACTTTGTTACTTTCACCATGTACCCATTATCAGGGACAGCCTTCAGCAGTTTCCAACATTTTACCCCCCCAAAAAAGAAAACAACTTCAAAACCTGGAAGTGTCAATCAAAATTTAGAATAGGATTAAACAAACATCTGGACTGGATGTATAAGACGTATACAGCAGCTCCTTGTGAAAATAAATGAGTTTTGTAATGCCTGCTCTAATCACAAAACATTTTTTTAAATGTTTCTTGATTTTCATTTCATTATCTCTCTTTAGGCCTGTCATGCAAGCAATGTTATTAGTAAATAAGAGAATTTAAAACTTTCATAAACATATTTCATCTGTTTTAATGTTGTGTAGTCTTCAGCCGATATATAGTACATTAAATCATTTATGAACAGACACAGCAGTTTTTATTAGTTGAGATTTAATTTCTTGATGGATTGAAGTTATGGACTCATAAATATCTGCACATGTGCTGCTGTGGAGTTTCCTTCTGCTTGTAGTGAATTATTGGCCAAGGCAGCTCACATTAATATGTCATACTAAACCACCAAAACTGATGACAGGACCCATTTGACCCCTGCCAATGCACGCACATACATACCTCCTCTTTAATTGAAAATTACGTCTGTTTAATATCTGTGTATACACTACATTAACATGCACACTCACTTTTATGTAAAATGACCACCAGAAAAATCACTAATGAAAAATCACAAGATTACCAAGAAATGCATTAAACTGTCTGACAGGACCAAGTATTCAACCCACATACTGCCACAGACTGAGACCTTAACACAGGTTTTCCACTTACAAAAGTGGAAATTTAAATGTTTTCTGCAGATATCCACATTAATGTGAAATACTGTCACTATTTTCCCACACAGAAACTCCACATCCTTTTAGCTATGTCCAATAATTATATTTTCTTTAATTCAATTTAAAAAAACTAAATTAAAATCCACGGCTTAAAATAATTTACATGTGGTCAATTTGCACCCTTATTTTCACAACTATGGTAGTTTGGGGTTTAAAAGATAAAGCAATAATCCAGCAGCTTTTAAGTCAGGCAAATATCAATTCCAAAGAAAGAACCAATTTCCATATACTAAATTTCCATTCAGATCAGAAACTTTTATTCAAGAATTTGATGTTTTTTACAGACTAAAGACGTCACTTCAGCATGTGATCTATAACTTGAGAAGACAACAGATGATACAGATGTCTCTTAAGTTTCAAGTTTTCAAGCTGTTAAAATAATACAGCAGGATAGAGTTACACTGATTTATTTTGAGAACTGTCACACTTCCTGTACTGATGATAATAATAAAGAATTTTATGAATTGCTAAATGCCGCATGTAGTTGTGCAAAAATCCTTTACCACACAACCTTTTTTTAAATACCAGATGATAGTATAAACCTCAGCATTAAATCTAGTGTCTCAGTTTCTGTAAAAAAAACATTTCACTAAAATATTTTTAAAACATTCTGTGAATTTCTTTTAACGTGTTATCTCCTTAAAGGGAAGGCAAAAATTGAGCAAGATGCAGCTAAAACCAGCAACCAAAAAATAAGCACGTAACCCCAGCAGGAAGTGAATTCATTCTGTAGGAGAACACTAGGAAATCTCACACTCAACCTTATTAATAATTGCCAAGTATTTGGGATTCTTCTTGGCAAACAGCTGAGACCTACATCCCTGAGTAATTAATGCTCTGTCTGTCAGGAATTACTGCTTACACAGCCAATCAGTTCTGAACGCAAAAATCCTCACAGTCATCTCGCCAAATAAATCATCTGCAATCACATTGTGATCTGTGATGGCAACAAAGAATTTAATATGCCAACTACATGTCAACTAACAGAGAAAGTTAAAAAAAGCTTTTCCCGAGTAGGCCTTGACACTTCACGTAAACTACTGAAAAACCCTGCGGGCACTTCTTTGTGTTTGTGTGAAAGTGTGCAAGGTTTTGATTCTGCTTGTGTTAGTCCATCAAAACCCCTAGTGAGTACATGCTATATGCAGATGTGAGGTATATAATTCTAAATGAATGTATATGTTGATGTTTTGGGGTTTTCTTCCTAACCATTAACTTGTTTTGAGTCATGAATGCCTGTGAATGCTGGTATGTGCATGCACTGGGGACCAATCATCACGCACACAATTGGTTGGTGTGTAAGTTCTGAGCCTCTGAATCTATAACACACTCACACATATAAAGAGAGATGTTTATATATGTATGTAAAGGATAAGAGCCTTGTGTGTATATGTCCATGTGGGTGAGTGCATGGAGTATGTAGGTGTGTACGTGAGAAAAGCTGTCTAGCAGCAACATTACCATTACCACTTTATCATTAAGCTTAGCAAGGTGAGGCTTGGTCAGTCCTTGGATAAGAGACCCCTCAGGAAGACTAGAGTGCTGCAACTGGTGTTGGTGGACCAGTAGTTGGCGCCCTTCCCTCTGGACCTGAATTTCCAAATCAGTGCCCCACAATGGTGTCCAGAGAAACTGTGCCGTAGTACACAGGTGAGATGCAGACTACATTTACTTGGTCATTAAAGATCCTATGCCACTTTTTGAAAGAGTAAAGGTGTTACCCCTAATGTCTGCCCTTAATTGTATTATGGGCTTGTGAAAACACACCTTCCTAAATTGGCGCCCATTAATTTTAACTGGTCAACTCATTTCTCACATCTGCACCCGAACTGCGATGTAGTGGGGCTGCTGCTGCTTATTAGCTGCTAAGTGTCACCCAGGTGGGTGCTGCACTTGGGAGGTGAATGAAATGGGGCGCCTCTTTGTGCTGTGGGATTCTTTGGGATGAGAAGTGCTATGTAAAGGAAAGGGATTAAAAATTATTCAAGGAGCTTGCCCTTCTGTGAGTCTACGTTAATGACTGTGTGTGTGTGTGCGCACGTGCCATTTTGTCTGTGCCGACTCAAGTTTGTGTGTCAGCCAGCGAGTGTGTGGCTCGGTGCCTTTGTGAGTGTGTCTGTGGGTGTTGGCTGCTCAGACTCCTGTTGGTGAGAAGCACTAGAGAACTATCAAAGGGAAGAAAGACATGAAAGGCGGCTTCCTCCTGCTCCACACACAGGAACATCTCAATAATGACAGCTGACAAGCACCTCCGTAAACATTCCCTAAGATCTTACCAGCGTGAAGTTCCTATTCAGTTCCATTGTGTTCTCTCTTTATTTATCAAAAGTGCGGCCGGCACATTGCAGAGCCCTAGAGCTGGTCACCTTACTTGTAAGACACTGCTAAAGGTGGGAGGGGGGTGCGTGGGGGTAAACG